GGGGGGGGGGGGCGTACTCATTTGTTGCTTGCCGTAGTCATTTGACCATGGACCACGCGTCCCTTTCGAGACGGAGCACCGTTCCTACCCCTACTTCAGACACCACCAACATTTGGGAGCTCTTTAAGTTTCTGCCACAAACTACATATAAATTTCTTGCACATCTTATCCCCGTCCTCTACGGCCTCTTGTGCCCACCATCTATCCCCAATTACCGCGATCGCTTTTTCGCTGTTGTCTAATTTACCAAACTTGTCCATGTCACACCCTCTCTGTCTCATGTCCTCCTCGAGATCCTCTCTTTCCTTCCTGTACAGCTCACACTCCCCAACTATGTGGGGTCTACTCTCCTCCGATTTGCCACATGGACATGTCTGTCTACCCTCCGCTTCCTCTCTCCTACGGCTGCTGCACCTCTTCCTCCGTTCTGGCAAGTCCAGATCGCCTACTCGAAATTGCAACTTCAGGTTTTTTGCGTAGTCCATGGGGCCGTCCAAGTAACTCTTCATCCCTATCCCTTCTTTCAACTTCCCGTATATCTCCAAGTGGTCTTCGCTTCGTACCTTCTTCCAAAGGGTTGCCTCCTCCCTACTTTCTAGCATCTCCTTGACTTTCTTCTTGAACCCCTCGAACCCTTCCGTGTCCAATGTCTCCTCCTCGTCTCCTATCTCTTTCCAAACCCTCTCTACCACCTTGTCCCATCTGATTCCTTTCTTCCCTGGAGTCGCTTTTCCCCAAGCTGCCTTGTCAACCATGGCTGGTAGTCTATCGTCCGACATTCTACTTATCTTGTACTGCCAATTCAACTTTTGCATGTCTCTCTTTGTTTTAAGATAGTACATTCCCAGTTCTGCTCTTAATACAGCAGTGTTGCTCGTTGTACTTGAACATCCTAGTATTTTCTTGGCCGCTGCCATCTGCACCGTTTCCAGCTGCTTGACGGCCTTTTCGTTACCTTCCCATACCTCTCCTGCATACTCTAGCTTAGGTACAATCACATTCAAGAGAACACACCTCTTAATCCTAGTGTCTTGGTGTGGGTCCGTAAGGATCTCGTCCATCTTGCCTATCTGAGCTTTACCCTTCCCAATCAACTTTGCTATGTGTGCGTCCCATGAGCACTCCTTCGAAATCTCTACTCCCAGGTACGTATACCTGTCTACTACCGGTAGTTCTTCCTACCCCCATTTCCATTATATTCTACGGGCACACTCTTCCATTATACAAAGATGCAACACTCAAAACACAAGCTCGGATACGTCTTCAAACCTTACAAACAGAGGGGGGAGGCATGTTCAAGCTGCATCATTCCCCCGTTTCGCCAGACACAAGGTGCCCGCTCATAGGTATGACTGGATAAGTTGGCGGGCAAGGTTGTTGTACAAACACGGAGTACAACCTTCACAGTTTTACGCGTGAGCATGTAGATAGTGTGCTAAATAGTTTACTCCTGTACCCTCTCACCTCTATCCGCTTCTTGAGGGCATCCATGGACGCCACGTCCATACTCTTGCCCCTGAGCACCTCGCTCTGGAGCCCGTCCTGCTCCGCGGCCGCCTGTAGGCCCCCGTCACTCTCGTCGCCGTCATCATCGTTGTTTTCATCGCGACCAGCGTCAGCATCGCCCCCATCCTCGCCGGCCTTGGCGCGCTCCTTCAGCGGATGGACGGGACACAGGAGAGCACAAGGAGAAAATGACACGGTCTCGTGGTGAAAAGCAAGCGGGCAGCGTCACGAGAACAGCCGCCAATCGTGTCCGAAGCATGGCGTTCAGGACGTGACAAAAGAGCGAGGCCCGCAAACGGGCAACACTAGCAGCTAAGATAGGACCTGGCGCAGCAATGATAACTACGGCGTGTTCCAAGAGAAACAACTCACAGGGACATTGGTAATACACACCGAACCTGGTCCAACGGGGAAATCGGCGACACGCAATTTTCGTCAACACCCTCTACTATTTTCGTGTCGACACATTCGTGAGAGACTTCACAAGCCCAGGTAAATAAGTTGAGCAAAACCACAGGCTTATCTGGGTTGAGTGCAGCAACAAACAAAGACACAATATTTCAGTACAGCAGTAAGGGGCTCTCCGTATGATATGCACCTGCTGCTTCTCCAGGAGTGTCTTTTGGTTTTCGGCGGCGTAGCGGGCCCGTTTGTTCTTCTTGGATTCCTCCTTCTTCGATTGCTTCGGTGCCTCGCCCTTCTTGTTCTGTTGATCGATTGGTTATATGCATACACAGAGGGTTCAGGTACGAGGGCACGCGTAATAGCAAGGAAGGCCATTGGCAAGGGCGTCTCACGCAAGAAACAGGACGTGTTCAGCGTAGGGCGGGTTGGCGGGCACGCCGCGTACGGCAGCAGCAGTCGCTCAAGCTAAGGTATCGGCTGAACAGAGATCAAACCGCAAGTACAATGTAACCTTTGGCACAGCAGGTGGCTACGGGGCAATTACGTGTAGTCAGCCGAACGCTGGCACCGAACAAAACAAGAGAGGGGACCGAAATACGCCGAAGCACGAGGCGTTGGTGGTGCTTCAAGAGACGCACCGGGTACGTCCTATATTGTGTGATGCCGGGAACGTCGTGGCGTATCACAGGAACGAAGGAAGCGCCAGTTGCTGTCAAGCACCTGTTGTATGTAGACTCGTGCAGCACATGGACTAGTCATTGTACTAGACCATGCTTGTTAAAGGTCATTTTCCACTAGTTACCTTCATGTACTTGCTGGCGTATGAAGACTCCGCGACCTCCTTCGCGCGGAGCACCAGGTGCTCCGGAATCATGTCCAGCATTCTCGAGAAAAACTCGTCATGTTCCTGAATGGTGGCCACAAGCTCGTCCTCAACGAATTGACGACCTCCTTCCTCTCTCTCCTCTTCTTCATCCCCTTCGACCTGGCTTCGTGACCGCTTCTTTTTTCTCCCATCCGCACCACTTGCAGTAGAAGCACTGCGGCTATCATTCCCGCCGCTCCGCTGCTTGCGCGCAGCGGGACGCTTGACAAGCTCCTTGCCACCCTTCCCAACTAGCCCTGCTGCTGCTGGTCGCTTGTGGTTTGAACCCCCGGATGATGAAATTGAGGCCGTTCGTTCCTTTGCCATGACCTTAGACACACCTCGATTCTGCGCAGCTCCGGAGGCGATGGCCTTCTTGCGACGGTCGCGCCTGGTCGTTTTCGCCATGGTATAGTGTGGTGTGTGGGGTTGCCGTCTTTCTCTCGCGAGAGCCGTGGGAGCAGCACCCGCCGCGGAACCAGCGGATTTTCGGGGTTTGCAACTGGTTCAAACGGCATAATAGGGGCTCTTGAAATACATTGCGTGGCGGGGGGGGGAGAGGGGAGAGCTACACTATACACAGTAGACGTATTACCTCTTGTTCTACGGCACCACTTCAGCGTGACCAGTGTGCTGTGCGCTGTACTAGGCCACGACAGCGGCAGAAGAGTAGCAGGCAGAGGAAATCCGTCAGGGAGAAAAGAAAGGGAGGGGAGGGGAGAGGAAGAAACTAGAGAGAGAGAGAGCGGCAAGCGTAGGGACACTGAAGGTGAGAAACCTTGTGAACCCGTGAGCCATGTCGTGGTGGTTTGTCAACAGAGTGGACTGACCTACCCGGCATCGCTGAAAGCCCTACTTTCAACACGAGTGGTCTTCTCCAGTACAACGTTGATGGGAGTTGTTTCGCGTCCGACGCGTCTTGGAGAAACTCCGTCCCTTCCTTACGCCGACGCTTGAGGCTCAGCAGCATTGACGAATAAGCATTGTCCCTGTGGTGTCTTGTAATGCAGCCGAAAGCTCTGCTAGGGTGTGTAGGGTTGGGATAGAGAAATGTTACAGGCAGGTTCGTAGCACTCTGCGCGCACAGCTGTCACCCCCCCGAAAGACTGTCTGTACATTGTGACCGGTCACACAGCAGTTGCGCATCACCTTACCAACCACAAATTAACGAAATTGGCTCCCACTACCGACGTGGTTATTGTTCATCGACAACCACCCCAAATCATCCGCAACAGAGCATTGGTAAAAGGTCCCTGAATAATTCACGAACAGCTTTGTTTCAACATGCTACTTGACAACTCTGTTAGTTAACAATCAAACAACGGGTAACGAAGGGGTGACACTTACCATGTACCCATGTATAGATATCCACTTTTTGTCGTGAGAACCCGGACGGTTTCAGGTGACGTTGAAAAAAGCCTGCAGCGATCCTCGTCGTTTGCATATGACATAGGACACTCATGCAGCGTACGTATATCAAGAAGATAACAGCTGCTGCCGAAGGACCGCTCTCTTCTTGCCAATGATATCTGCCTTCAAAAGGTGTACTTCCCGGCAAGAAGCTACTGCTTTCCAAATACTTTCGCTCAAGCGTGCAAAGTTAGCCCGGTACATGTAGTGTTCCACCATTACTGAAGGCATCACGCGAAAACGGAAGGTGCGAGGTAGTATAACAGATCCTTGTCATACCATGGTGGCTCAAAGATCAAGAGGCCAGACTGGCGCAGACAAGAGAGAACGGGGGAAACTAAGCATTTTTTACCAAGCTGACCCCGCCGCATTGTTCATGCCTCCCGCTCCCTGGCATCAATCAGACAGACGCACATGAACGAGGAGCGACCTGCTTCTCTTTCGGTGTACACCATTTGATCCCTCAAGACGCAAGTAGCTCTTCCGGCCGGGAGCATGAGCCGCCGCCGCCACCGCAGCAGCAGCAGCAGTAGTAGCAGCAGCAGCAGTATTAGCAGCAACAACAGCAGCAGCAGCAGCAACAGAATAAGAAGGAGGAGAAGGGGGGGGAGGAGGAGGAGAAGCAGCAACAGCAGCAGCAGCAGCAGCAGCGACAGCAGCGACAGGAGAGGGAGGAGCAGCATTAGCAGCAGTAAACGCAGCCGCAGCCGCCGCAGCCCGAGCCGCAACCCGTCGCGGAGGCGAAGCCCCAGCGCTAGCGAAAGCTACTACAGCAAGAGCAGGAGTAGAAGCCACGATCGCCGCAGATCCAGGACCCCAGACCGCAGGCGGAATGACAGGGGCGGTAGCGGCAGCGGCTACCGTACACCTGAGGAAAAGAAGAGCCGAAACCGCAGCAACACCCCCGTGCGCCTCAAGTCATCGGAACGTCAGAGGGGCGGTAGCAATTCGGGGCGAGAGGGAAGCCGCGGCCGCACGAGCAGCTCGAGGGAGAGAAAACGAGGAGGGGACTGCGGCCGGGACTCGGTAGGCAGGGGTGGTGGCTCGATGGACGAGGGGAAGAGCGTCAGCAGCAGCAACGCGCCGGGTTCGAGCAGCGGGGGCAAGGACAAGGACTGCAGGGATCGAGGGAGAGATCGGGCCGCTCGGAGTAGTAGCCGCGGCCGCAGCCGTGAACGGAGCCTCGAGCGTATCCGTGACCGCAAGCGGAAGCGAGGGTCCAGCAGGGGTTCGCCGAGAGGGAAGGAGAAGGGGGACAGGTCCAGGAAGGAGAAGGGAGACTTGGGCCGGCGAGACAACAGAGACTCCTCCTCCAAGCGGCGCGACCGAGACGAAGAGAAGAGCTACGATCGGTCCTACGACAAGGAACGGTCCCCACGCAAAGAACGTTCCCCACGTCACAGAGACCGGTCCGTCAGCCGCCAGGCGAAACGCAGCAGCAGGAGGCGCAAAAGCGACAGCAAGGATCGCGGCGAAGAGCGAAGAAGGGGTAGTTCGAGGGCGGACGATAGCGACTACGACGATAGCGATGACGATGGCGGTGGCGAACCCGTGCGCGGCAGCGGGAGCGGCTCCAGACGCAGCAACAGCAGGGACACTGCTCGAAGTAGCGCTGGTAAGAGCGACAAGCATCGACCGTCGAGCGGGTCGGGGGGCAGGCCTCCAAAGGCACCGTCTGCGATGAAGGACTCCCGACCCCGCTCCGACGGTCACCGCCGCGGCTCCGAAGCCACGCGCGAGAAACCGCCATGGAGTGGTGAGGGCAGCCGCAGCAGCAGCAGAAGCAGAAGCAGCACCAGCACCAGCAGCACCAGTACCAGCGGCGGCAGCCGCAGTAAGAGATCCCCGCCCCTTGCCGAGGAGAAGGCGCTCACGGGACGAGCGGACGCTTCCCCAGACTCACGGGTGTCCGGAAGCAGGGGCAAGGGGCCCTCTAGCTCCATGTCACGTTCCTCCTCGCCGCGCAGCGACGGCAGCGTCTCGCCACCGGCGACGGTAACTCCCCCGTCCACCCCCCGCCGCTCTCTCAAGGACGGGCGCTCGCCGAAGAAGAGGTCGCCCAAGTCCAGCGGGGACTACGATTCCGAACGCACGGGTAGCTTGTCCACCACGGCACCCGCACAGGACAAGCTTGCAGGTGCCGGTGAGGACGAAAGAGGCATCGGCGGAGCGTCGGGGGGGTTAACAAAGGCCAGCAGCGGCGCCACCTCGCCTCGGGGCACTCCGTCCCCGCGGCTGGACAGCAGCAGCGCGGGCAAGTCGGCGCCGTCCCGCCTGGCTCCGTCCCCGCCGAAGGTGTCCTCTCCCAGAGCAGCGGCGCTGTCCGGGAATGATGAGTCGGACGAAGACCTGGCTGGCGAGCGCGTGTTGGCTGACGACGCCTTCAGCGGTGGCGGAGGCTTTGCAACCGGGGCGGATCCTGCTCCCCCCGCCGCCGCCGCCATCGATGCAAGGAGGAACTACGGGGCCCCAAGCGGCGGAGAAGGCGCTACCGTCGGGACGGAAAGAGCGTCGAACGGTGATGCTGCCAAGCCGAAACAGCAGGTGGGTCAAGCGCCGGCACCGAAGCGCCGGTCGCCGGTAGAGGCGCCGGGTTCTCGAGAGGAGAGCGCGTCGGCTACAGCGCAGGGTCCTACGGCGGCGGCGGCAGCGGCGGCGGCGAGCGAGAGCGCGGGCCAGGCGAAACGCCCCGGTGGCGGTGGTGCGAAGCGCTCTCAGCCAGTCAGCACGGGCGCTTTCTCCTCCTCCCCTGCTCCCAAGGCATTGGCCGGGCGGGCCGGCGTTGGCGAGTCGTTGCCGTCATCGGTCTCCGCTGCTGGAGCGACCGCGAGACCTCTCACACCCAACAGCACCAGTAAGCGGTCCCCTGGGCAGGGTGGCAGAAGCGGCGGGAAAGACAAGAATCGAGCTCGTCAGGGAGTGGACAAGAAGAGCAGGGCCAGCATCGGCGGCGGTGCTAGTCGTCAGCAGGGGCAGCGTGCGGTCGGAGGTGCCCCTCAAGCCCGGCGCACGCCGCGAGCGGCAGCGGTTTCGGCTGCGGCTAAGATTAAGAGCACTAGTGAGGGCGGCGGCGGGGCGCTGGGCGTCATCGATGGGACGGGCAGTGGTGTGTTCGGCGGCGGCGGAGCCGGGGGCGCGTTCACTAGCTACGGGTCCGAGGAGGCTCGGCCGGATGATAGCGAGGAGGAAGCCACCTTGGATGGCTTAGTCGGCGCGAACCGTTCAGGGCCGTCCGCGCACTTGGCATCGTCGACTTCGGCGCCCAGGCCGATAGACCCTCGCGAGTGGTACTGCGCCAGGACGCAGGTCGAGAAGATGATCAGGCTAGACTACCAGAAGGTGTACACGAATTCGCCCAAGCTGTCGATCGGGGGGGCTTCGTACACGTCGTATCTGGCCATGGTCGAGACGCCGATATGGCTCCGGGAAATTCAGACCCGCGTGGCGCCGGTGAAGCCCAAGTGCAAGTGAGTGCGGTCGTTGCGTGTTATTCGTTGAGGGACATGTTTCTGTCCCTCAGCCGACCCCCGGACGGTGGAGTGTTTGACGGCATGGATCTAGTGCAGCAGCCTTACGTGCCTCGAGTTCTCATTCTTAAAATCACGTACAAGTACCGTGTATGTTCACCCCGTATCACGTTTATTTCTCTCCTTGAAATCGCGAAACGAACCGCCGCCCTTCCGTCTCTTCTCTTGGTGGCGTGAGAAAGGTACCGCACCATCGACGAGTTTCTTCACGACGTACGACGGCTATGCGCCAACTCGTTCATGTGGACGCGCGAGACGTCGAACGTGACGGTGCTCTCTTTCCTGCGGCTCCTAGAAACGGCTGATGTGAAGAATGTGCTCAGGCCGTCCAAGCCGTTAGTGCCCAAGTGGGAGAAGTGCTTGCAGGTGAGATTGATGCTACAGCAGTTGAAGAGTTTTTTTGGGGGGGGGGAATTGATTTTCTGCCCATGACCTTGCCTCTTTTGTTTGTGAAGCGGTACCATACGGGTGATTAGCTGTTACTGTTGTGCC